TGCAACGCTTAAGGAAAGCGTCTACTCCAGGTCAATTTGCAGACAGAGATTTCAAGAAGTTCACATTCAAACTAAGGGAATCAATGCAGATGGGAGGGGGGAAAAAAAAAAAAAAAGGAATACCCTCTCTTCCTTCAGCTATTAATGCTGACTTTGGCCTAACCTATCTTTCCAGGTGTCCAAGTATTTGGAATTGGTGTTTTCCCCAGCTTACCCCTGGAATAGAGCAGAAAGCCCAGGGATCTCCTGAGAAGATTTATTCCAAAGCCTGGTTCACAGTCCCAGGAGGTATGAAGAAGCATCTGCTTGCCACTATCTGAAACCCCAAAGTGAACTGCAAATAATTCACCCTCCACTGGTCTTCATTTTATGCACACCGGTTTGCAGTAACCATCACTTCTTCAGTCTTCTCCATCCCAAAGGATCTCAAAGCACTTGGCCCTATTTTTCCCCGTGATTTTTTTTATGGACCAGGCATGAATATATGTACTAACAAAAAGCAGTGACCCTGTATACAAATGATGCCTCACTAAAGATAAACAATTTATAACAGAAATCCTTGGTATAAATTATTTTTGGAAATGCCAAATTCCACACACTACATCTAAGGAAGGGACCAGAGCTCAGAAAAGCTTAGCACATCGGGCGGCCGGATGGGAGCCGAAAGGTTTAGAAAACCGGGCTCTTTGGAAAACCCTGGCCCCAATTCTGGGTGCTGTGATCTGGCTCTCAGCATTTTTTGAACATCTGGGGCCTGCAGCAGTGGGAATATGAATGTTGCCAAGTGACTAAAAAAATATATCCACTCACATTCTTCATTTTCCTTCCCTTGTAGTCAGGCTCCAGGACCTTCTGTGGCTTCTTTGTTGGTAAACCTGGAAAAAGGCACTCAATCAATCACCGGGATCATTTCCTGAGCAATAATCGGGATAAACGGGTCGCTGCCATCACTTCCTTCAGCCTGTTGATATCGGTCAGGTCAAGTAGGATTCAGAAGGTGCAAAAGCCCCTGGGCTGCACATGCAGTCTCTACACGGAAATCAGCTCCTGGAGCTGGGAGACAGAGCTGGGGGGGGCACACCTCGCCAGCCCAGCCCGAGGCACGGCTCCAATAGGTGGCACCAGAACGAAAGCAAGAGCTCCAAAGACGGAGCCACGGCTGCCGAGCGGAGTAACCCCAGAAGCAGCCCTGCAGTCGGAGATCGGGCAGCGAGGTCTGCGGGAACCCACCCCGCCGCCGCGCAGACCACAGGCACGGCGAGCAGGGGCAGCCCGTGGGAGCAGCGCCAGGCTCTCCAGGCACCGTGTGGTGCCTTCAGGAAGCCCGCCAGACACCTGCCTGTGCCCCGATCCCCTTCCCAACACCAGAGGGGCTCTGGCTGCAGGCGCTGAGGGCTCCCCAGCGCAGAGTAGCTGTGGTGCTGCGGGCCCAACGTGGCAGGAGCCGTGCCCCCACCCCCCAGTTACTTACTGTTGCAGGGCCGGGCAGAGCGTCGTGCAGGTGCCCTGCAGCGGTGTCTCGGTGAGCGGTCGTGGGGTCAAGCCGTTGCCGTGCCCATTGCTGCAGGCCAGGCCTGCCCCGTCGGCACCGCTGTTGGAGCGGCTGCTGCTGGCACTGCTGCCGCCCGCCTGCCCGTCGGGACCGGGGCCCTGGGCGCAGGGCAGGCGCAGGCTGGGCCGGGAG